TGGCGTGTCAACTGTGCTCGCTTCGCTATGGTCTATCTTGCTGTTGTGTGAATATTTTGCAGTTGGTTTTGCTATTGCTATTGTATGTGCATACTTGGCATTCGTGTCAGCCTTGCTATCATGAATCTACAGTCGTACTGTGCATAGCAGCTTGAGCGTGTTGTAAGTAGCGGGTTGGGGATTAAATGCCACCTTTAAGATTCCGACGATTAGCGATTGAGTTTACTCTACTAAATCTGCCCAAGTTCTCTCTACAGCATTGTTGGCGTATTGCTTGATCTATTGGCATTGATTATCAAAGAGCTCTAACTGTGGCACAACTTCGTAATCTTATTTGCAGTAATTAAAGACAGAAGCAGACATGGCGCACCAGATTGACGTGTCCCCAGCTACAGGAGCTATTAATAGATCTCCACTTAGGTTTCTGCAGAATGGTCAAGACACACATGAGCAAAACCAGCAGCCTGGTGAAGGAAGAGGTGTGTCGAGTTTGTCTCAGGGTGAATCTGCTTCATTGGCACTTGAGTTAGCCAGGCTCAATCTTGAACAAACTAAAGAGCAGCATGCTTTTGCTAGAGAGGAATTTGATAGAGAGAAGGTGGATCTGGCAATTGTAGAGGTGGCATGGTCACCACTCAAGTTTCCACCCTTGTCAATTCCATTCTAGAGCTGGTTGAACACGGCTGTCCATTCTGTCTCCAGGCTGTCTTTGCCTATTGATCCACTGTATGGTACACATATATTTCCAACTGTATATAGTGTACATACTTGTAAATATCATCTTTTAGGAGTGAAGAAGAGCAGGATGCGAGTGTGGGGGAGGTGCGTGAGGCATTACGTAGAATGAAAGGGGCTACAGCAGCTGGAACTGACGGGATCATGGCAGAAATGTTAAAAGCAGGGGGTTGACATAGTGTTGGAGTGGTTGGTATTTTTGTTTAATAAATGTATGAAAGAGGGGAAGGTACCTAGGGATTGGCAGAGTGTGTGTATAGTCCCTTTATATAAAGGGAAGGGGGACAGAAGAGATTGTAAAAATTATAGAGGAATAAGTTTACTGAGTATACCAGGAAAAGTGTACAGCAGGTTTATTATTGAAAAAAATAGAGGTAAGACAGAATGTAGAATTGCGGGTGAGCAAGGAGGTTTTAGAGTGGGTAGGGGATGTGTAGATCAAGTGTTTACATTGAAGCATATATGTGAACAGTATTTAGATAAAGGTAAAGTTTTTATTGCATTTATGGATTTAGAAAAGCCATATGATAGAGTAGATAGGGGAGCAATGTGGCAGATGTTGCAAGTATATGGAATAGGTGGTAAGTTACTAAATGCTGTAAAGAGTTTTTATGAGGATAGTGAGGCTCAGGTTAGGGTGTGTAGAAGAGAGGGAGACTACTTCCTGGTAAAAGTAGGTCTTAGATAGGGATGTGTAATGTCACCATGGTTAATATATTTATAGATGGGGTTGTAAAAGAAGTAAATGCTAGGGTGTTCGGGAGAGGGGTGGGATTAAATTATGGGGAATTAATACAAAATGGGAAGTGACACAGTTACTTTTTGCTGATGATACTGTGCTTATGGGAGGTTAGTGGACGAATTTGGGAATGTGTGTAAAGGTAGAAAGGTTGAAAGTGAACACAGAAAAGAGTAAGATGATGAGAGTATCAAATGATTTAGATAAAGAAAAATTGGATATCAAATTGGGGAGGAGGAATATGGAAGAAGTGAATGTTTTCAGATATTTGGGAGTTGACGTGTCGTCGGATGGATTTATGAAGGATGAGGTTAATCATAGAATTGATGAGGGAAAAAAAGTGAGTGGTGCATTGAGGTACATGAGGAGGCAAAAAATATTATCTATGGAGGCAAAGAAGGGAATGTATGAAAGTATAGTAGTACCAACACTCTTATATGGATGTGAAGCTTGGGCTGTAAATGCTGCAGCGAGGAGACGGTTGGAGGCAGTGGAGATGTCCTGTCTAAGGGCAATGTGTGGTGTAAATATTATGCAGAAAATTCGGAGTGTAGAAATTAGGAGAAGGTGTGGAGTTAATAAAAGTATTAGTCAGAGGGCTGAAGAGGGTTTGTCGAGGTGGTTTGGTCATTTAGAGAGAATGGATCAAAGTAGAATGACATGGAGAGCATATAAATCTGTAGGGGAAGGAAGGCAGGGTTGGGGGTCGTCCTCAAAAAGGTTGGAGGGAGGGGGTAAAGGAGGTGTTGTGGGAGAGGGGTTTGGACTTCCAGCAAGTGTGCGTGAGCGTGTTAGATAGGAGTGAATGGAGACAAATGGTATTTGGGACCTGACGATCTGTTGGAGCGTGAGCAGGATAATACTTAGTGAAGGGATTCAGGGAAACCGGTTATTTTATATAACCGGACTTGAGTCCTGGAAATGGGAAGTACAATGCCTGCACTCTAAAGGAGGGGTTTGGGATATTGGCAGTTTGGAGATATATTGTGTATTTTTATACGTATATGTACTTCTAAACTGTTGTATTCTGAGCACCTCTGCAAAAACAGTGATTATGTGTGAGTGAGGTAAAAGTGTTGAATGTTGATGGAAGTTTTTTCTTTTTGGGGATTTTCTTTCTCTTTGGGTCACCCTGCCTCGGTGGGACTTGTTGAAAAAAAAAAAAAAACTTATAAATACTTACAATCGCACTTGGTGAAGGAAAATATAATTCAAAGTCATTCAACTGTGTTCGTTCTGCTCCTTGCTCCCCTTTACACCCAGGATATTATACAATTTTAATATTCACTAACCTAAGCTTAGCTAATCTAACCTTACCTAACCTAACATAGCCTTACCTAATGTAACCTTACCTAACGCGACCTCATCTAACGCGGCCTTACCTAATGCGGCCTTACCTAACGCAACCTTACCTAACGCAACCTTACCTAACGCAACCTTACCTAACACAACCTTACCTAACGTAACCTTACCTAACCAAACCTAACCTAATGTAACATAACCTAACCTAACCTCACCTAACCTAACCTTACCTAACTTAACCCTTTGAGGGTGGGTCCTGTTGTTCTATAACTTTGAAGCCAGGGTCGGTCCCATACTATGCCATGAGCTCAGTTCTCTTTGTTAAGCCAAGTGGTAAATTTGGGCCTAAATATGTACTGCAGCACACAGTACATAATGGGAAAAACCTGAGACTGTGTTTTTGGATTAAAACAGCGACTTTGCGGTGTATTTTCATAGTTTTAATGGTTGTATTCTAGTTTTCTTGGGTTCATTTGACAGAATGGAAGATATATTACAGAAATTGACATGATTTTGATTAGTTTCAGGAGAGAAAGTAGCTTGAAATTGAGCTCAAAGTAGAAGACACGTTCAATTATTGCCGATATTCCAGAGTACACAGATGCCGTTAACTGTCCCATATACAGTGGACCCCCGCATAACGATCACCTCCAAATGCGACCAATTATGTAAGTGTATTTATGTAAGTGCGTTTGTACGTGTATGTTTGGGGGTCTGAAATGGACTAATCTACTTCACAATATTCCTTATGGGAAAAAATTCGGTCAGTACTGGCACCTGAACATACTTCTGGAATGAAAAAAGTTCGTTAACCGGGGGTCCACTGTATATCCAACTGGTTAGTCTAAAATGTGTTCAGGAATGCGCTGACATTATTTATACAATTATTACAATGTGATTATCAAATGGTATACAATATCGACAGGTTGGTAGATAAGATACATAGGCAACATTTAGGCTACATTTCGCCTACACAGTAGGCTTCTTCAGTCGAGTACAGAAAGTAGGAGGGAGCAGTAGAGATGTGAAGACGATGTAATCAGTCCATCACCCTTGAAGTCGTAGATTTGAGGTTGTCAGTCCCTCAGCCTGGAGAAGTTTTGTTCCAAAGTCTGGAACTAACTGAAGATCAAGCGACAGTGTTGAGACTTAAATACTGTCGGAAGGAGAGGTGCAGAGTAGTAGTAGTGAGAATGTAGCCAGTGAGAGGTCATGTCCCTCTCAGATCAAACAGTTCTCACTTGAAAAAGTTGTCCAAGGTGTTTTCTCTTCCATACCAAGATGCCATTGTGTTGCAGTGTCTGACAGAGTGATTATCAAATAGTATACAATACCGACAGGTTGGTAGATAAGACACATAGGCAACATTTAGGCAACTTTATTCCGAAACGTTTCGCCTACACAGTAGGCTTCTTCAGTCGAGTACAGAAAGTAGGAGGGAGCAGTAGAGATGTGAAGACGATGTAATCAGTCCATCTCAGTGGCTACATTCTCACTACTACTACTCTGCACCTCTCCTTCCGACAGTATTTAAGTCTCAACATTGTCGCTTGATCTTCAGTTAGTTCCAAACTTTGGATCAGAACTTCTCCACGCTGAGGGACTGACAACCTCAAATCTACGACTTCAAGGGTGATGGACTGATTACATCGTCTTCACATCTCTAACCAAACCTAACCCGACCTATCCTTACCTTCCCTAATCTAACCTTACCTAATGCTACCTTACCTAACCTAACCCTACCTAGCCTTGCCTAACCTGACCCTACCTAACATTACTTAACCCTATCTAACCTTACCTTACCTAACCTTACCTAACCTAACCTCACCTAATCTAACCTAACCTCACCTAATCTAACCTCACCTAATCTAACCTAACCTCACCTAATCTAACCTCACCAAATCTAACCTAACCTAACTTTACTTAACTCAACCTAACCTTACCTAACCTAACCTTATCAAACCTTACCTTACCTAACCCTACCTAACTTAAGCTAACCTCTCAGTATTAGTTTCAATGGAATACACAGCATGTTGGTGGCTCTGTTGTCTACCAGTGTTTCATTACATGTAAACTATATTATTTGTACTGAAGCAACAGATAAGCTCTTTACTGTATTGTATAGTGTACGTAACCCATGTGAGTGGTACAGCTCGAGCTACAGTTATCAATAATAAGGAAGGTACTAGAGCTTCAAGGAGTACCTTAGGGGAAGGAAGGAGAGCAACTGTCAGGAAGATCAGCTGAAAAATTCTCCTGACTTACCTAAATGGAGCTTAAGATCAGCAGCTGACTGTGCTGACTCAATAGCCTTCCTCTTGTGCATTTCCAGCGCCTGCTGACGCAGCGTCAGCTCCTTCTCCACAGTGGTCAGGTTGTTCTGCAAGAGTCGCTCCTTCTCCTCCAGCTTACGAACCACCTGGTTCTGAGCCTCCACCTGGGTTGTCAGGGTGTTCGTCTGGAACAACCACAAACATTCTTACCATCATTTGGCGCACACAGGCCTATCATAGGCATATAAAAAAAGTTACATCTTACCATCACATGGGAAATTACTAAGTAAAAACTGAGGCCTACTGGACCACGATAGACAGGACCTACTGGACCATGATAAATAGGACCTACTGGACCATGATAGATAGAACTTACTGGACCATGATAGACAGGACCTACTGGACCATGATAGACAGGACCTACTGGACCATGATAGATAGGACCTACTGGACCATGATAAATAGGACCTACTGGACCATGATAGATAGGACCTACTGGTCCATGATAGACAGGTCCTAATGGCCCATGATAAAAGTACTACTGGTCCATGATAAAGGTACTACTGGACAATGACAGACAGGTACTACTGGTTCACAATAGACAGGTACTACTGGTCCATGATAGAACACTGTTCTTCGCTGGCCAGAACTCACCTGTTCTTGGAGAACATTACATTCTTTGTTGGCCAGCACTCACCTGTTCTTGGAGAACATTACATTCTTCATTGGCCAGCACTTAACTGTTCTTGGAGAACATTACATTCTTTGCTGGCCAGCACTCACTTGTTCTTGGAGAACATTATTCTTCAGTGGCCAGCACTCACCTGTTCTTGGAGAACATTACGCTCTTCATTGGCCAGCTGGTGGATCTGGTTGGACTTAATACGTTCAGACATCAACTTAAAGTTAGCATCGTCCTTCTCTCTCAACTGTTGGATCAGACGAATATTTTGTTCCTGCATGTCCTCGAAAGCTTGACCTGTTACCTCCATCTCGTTCAACAAGGTCTCCTCTTCCTGCAACAATTATCATCAACATTATCATCAAATATCCCTGTAGTCCCCTCTGTATGCGTGGAGGATATGTTCCAAGGCCTACCGTGGATACCCAAAACCCTGGATAGTAGCAAACCCTATGTAAAAGTCATTTTTTGTTTACATATGTACCTATGATAAAGTATATTGTAATAAACAGAATAGAGGAAATCAGCTCTAATATATATTATTTACGTATTATGTGGCAAGTAAAGAGTATGTTCGGGATATTGGCAGTTTGGAGGTATATGTTGAGTATCTTTATACATATATACTTCTAAGCTGTTGTGTTCTGAGCACCTCTGCAAAAACAGTGATTATGTGTGAGTGAGGTGAAAGTGTTGAATGATGATGAAAATATTTTCTTTTTGGGGATTTTCTTTCTTTTTGGGTCACCCTGCCTCGGTGGGAGACGGCCGACTTGTTAAAAAAAAAAAAAAAAAAAGTCACACTCCCATATAGGCTGCCTCCCAACCAGTGAACCAGGTGCGAAGGGTTTAACGATCAATTGGGTACACGTTGTTAAATCAGTACCTTGGTTTACTGACCAATCACAGGCAAGCTAGCCAAAGCTGAAGCAACGTGGTTCACTTGTGGTAAGCATTGGCAGACTTGCCTACCTGCTGGTTGAGTATGGTGCACTCTGGCTTCTGCTTTGCCATCTGTCCCCATGGTGTACACTTATTATTCTACCTGTACATATTGTACATAGTGTATATATTTGTATACAGTGGGTGAAAGCACAATATACATTATAATCTATTATTGTGTTTGTTTGCTCCAAGTCCCATTATGACGAGGTCTCACAGGCCGTTCTTTACCTGTGTTCGTAATAGTGTGCATACTGGTCAGAGAGCCCTAAACAAGTCTGAGTCATCAGTAAACGAGTACGTCACTAAGTGAGGAGAAGCTGTATATATTAACATGCTGGTTGTCTCCAACTGAGGTAGGGTGAACTGAAAAAGAAACACATTCACCATCCTTTACACCATCACTGTTTTGCAAGAGGCACGCAGATACGACAGTTTAGATGTCACTTCGAAGAGCAAATATCCCAAACCTCCCCTTCAGAGTGTAGGCAATGTACTTCCCACCTCCAGGACTCAAGTCCAGGTAACTGGTTTCCCTGAATCCCTTCACAAAATTTTACCCTGCTCATACTCCAATAGCTTGTCAAGTCCCAAAAACTGTTCATCTCCACTCATTCCTATCAAACATGCTCACACATACCTGCTGGAAGTCCAAGCCCCTTGCCCACAAAAACTCCTTTACCCCCTCCCTCCAACCTTTCCTAGGCCATCCCCTACCCTGCCTTCCTTCCACTACAGACTTATGCACCCTTCAAGTCATCCTATTTCTGTTCCATCCTCTCTAAATGTCCAAACCACCTCAACAACCCCTCCTCTCTTATTATGATTATCATTATCAGCATAATTATCACCATTATAAAGAACAAAAAAGTACAATATCATGACTGGTACAATACAGAAATAACCCAGACACAGAAAATCTCATGACTGTTTTGGTCCAACTTGGACCATTTACAAGTCACACTGACAGAGGAGAGTGAGGGCGCCAGTACAGCCTTTCCTAGCTCAACGATGGAGTTCCGTTCCTAAGACCACGTCTGTAAATGAATTTGTCGCTAAGTGAGGAGCATACTATAATGGTAGTGGGTTTGTATCACCCATCTTTGATATTGTTTTAATGTCACCTTTGCACCATTTATAACATTTCTGGTATATTTTTAAATGTTTATACAGTAGTGTACTTTATATTGTAATAAAGAGAACAAAGGAAATTAGCTCTAATATACAGTGGACCCCCGCATAACGATATTAATCCGTTCCTGAGAGCTCATTGTTATACGAAATTATCGCTATGCGAATGAATTTTCCCCATAAGAAATAATGGAAATCAAATTAATCCGTGCAAGACACCCAAAAGTATGAAAAAAAAAATTTACCACATGAAATATACATTTTCCCACACACAAAGAGAAGGATACATGCACAATAGTAGAGTAGTACATGCACAATATATATTGTGCATGTACTACTCTACTAAATGAAGAATAAATGACACTTACCTTTATTGAAGATGCAGCAATGACTGATGAGACACTGTGTCCTGGGAGTGCCTTTTCCTCCTGATACTGTGGGTTTCCTGTTTGGCATTTTCTTCCAGAACAGGCCTTATCACACTGTGTATGCCACTACGATTCTTAAATCTCTCAAACCAGCCTTTGCTGGCTTTAAATTCACCAATATGAGCACTATTTTCCAGGAAATTTTTCCCTGTTCACTGGGTGTTAGTCGACTGGTGTGGGTTGCATCCTGGGAGACAAGATTAAGGACCCCAATGGAAATAAGTTAGACAGTTTTTCGAGACACTGACTTTTTTGGGTTATCCTGGGTGGCAAACCCTCTGGGGTTAATTGTTTCTTGGTATTCTCAATAAGCCACACCAACAACGGTGTTACAGCAGCAGCAGCTGACAGTGCTACAGCAGCAGCTGACAGTGCTACAGCAGCAGCTGACAGTGCTACAGCAGCAGCAGATGGTGCTACAGCAGCAGCAGCAGCTGATGGTGGTACAGCAGCAGCAGCAGCTGACAGTGCTACAGCAGCAGCAGCAGCAGCAGCTGACAGTGCAGCAGCAGCAGCTGACAGTGCTACAGCAGCAGCAGATGGTACTACAGCAGCAGCAGCAGCTGACGGTGCTACAGCAGCAGCTGACAGTGCAGCAGCAGCTGACAGTGCTACAGCAGCAGCAGCTGACAGTGTTACAGCAGCAGCAGCAGCAGCTGACAGTGCTACAGCAGCAGCTGACAGTGCTACAGCAGTAGCAGACGGTGCTACAGCAGCAGCAGACGGTACTACAGCAGCAGCAGCAGCTGACAGTGGTACAGCAGCAGCTGACGGTGGTACAGCAGCAGCAGCAGCAGCTGACGGTGCTACAGCAGCAGCAGCAGCGGGACATGCTCAGCAGCAGCAGCAGCAGCTGACAGTGCAGCAGCAGCAGCAGCTGACAGTGCTACAGCAGCAGCAGACGGTGCTACAGCAGCAGCAGACGGGACTACAGCAGCAGCAGCAGTGACGGTGGTACGCAGCAGCAGCAGCTGAAGGTGCTACAGCAGCAGCAGCAGCTGAAAAGTGCTACAGCAGCAGCACATCAGCAGTTGACCATGGTACCACAGTATTTCGTAATATTTCTCACCCTTTTTACCACAGGGTTGGCACTAGAAGCTTTCTTGGGGCCCATGGTCACTTATTTTGCAGATAAAATCACCAAAAACGCTGTAATAATACGAAATGTTCCGATTGTATGCTTGGATGTTACCGCGGAGGCTGGCTTGTAAACAATCCCACCGGCGGAACATGTGAGGCTGGCTCAGGCCGCACATTAGACGCGTCTCGGACGAATAGTGTTGAGCGGGTTTTTTAGCGGTATGCGAGGCAAAATCTTAGCAATAAAATGTATCGGTATGCGGATTTAACGTTATGTGATGCCAACGGTATGCGGGGGTCCACTGTACATTATTTAGGCATGCATACTGGTCAGAGAGCCTGTTTTAAGTCCGAGTTGTCAGTAAACAAGTACATCGCTAAGTGAGGAAAGACTGTATATATAGGTGAGGGGGAACAGTGAGGGATGAAAGAGAGGAAGAAAAAGTAGTGGTGGTAGTGGTAATGCTGTTAGTGGAAGAAGAAGAAATAGTAGTAGTAGCGGTGTTAGCGGAGATAGTGGTGTTAGCGGAGATAGTGGTGTTAGCGGTGGTAGTGGTGTTAGCGGTGGTGGTGGTAATAGTTGTAGTGGTAATAGTTGTAGTGGTAATGTTGGTAGTGGAAGCAGTAGTGCAAGTAGAAGTAGTAGTGGTAATAGACAGTAGGGGAAGTAGTTTTTGCTATGAGATAGAAAGGGAAGTGAATGGAGGCAATAGTAGAAAAGGTAGAAGGCAAAAGCAGTAAAGGAGTGGTAGATGTAGTACTAGCAGTAGAAGAAGTGGGGTCAGTCTAAGGACAAGAAAAGGTGCACTGCAGGAGACCTACTGACCCACAAGGAGTAGGACCAAAATCACAAGGGAAGGGGGGCAGGGGGGGTAACTGAAGAACAGTACACACTAGGCAGAAGGAAACCAAAGAAATAAGGAAAAAGAGGAAAGGAGAAGAGGTAAAGAGAGGAAGAAGAGGAGGAGGAGGAAAATAAAGGATCATGTCAAGTCATAAGTGTTCCAAAGTTTGGAACAATTTACAATGTAATGGGAAAGGAAGACATCTACAGAGACAAAGCCAGGACTATGATTCATACAAGTTGTGTATAAGTGATGCTTCAACAAGACGGTGACTGTGAAAACTAAAAGTAGGGTACACAGTTATAATAGGGGACCAGTCAACAAGATGACTGTGATCTCAAACATGACAGAAAAGAACATTGTGGCAGCAAGTCTAACACTTCTTTTGTGCTCTCTGAGTGTCAGAAAGAGAACAATGAGTCTCTTCAAAGTATTGGAGAGGACAAGAGGATCAGGAAAGAGAGTAGACACCAAGAGCATCAACAGCAGGGAAAGAGGTGCGAACACGATTACTGCGAAGGATGTTAGTCTGGCAAAAAGTAAGTGTGATGTGTAAGGAATGGAGAGAGAGTTGTTGAGATTATAAAGACTGGAAATATAGGGATGGCAGAGAATAGAAGAATTTTGGGGAAGAGAAAGTCCATTTGGTACGTGAAAATAGTAGAGTACAAGTAAGAACATAAAGGAGGAACACTGCAGCAGGCCTGTTGGCCCATACTAGGCAGGTCCTAGTATGAAGTACAAGTAGTAGAGTACAGGTAGTAGAGTACAGGTAGTAGAGTACAGGTAGTAGAGTACAGGTAGTAGAGTACAGGTAGTAGAGTACAGGTAGTAGAGTACAGGTACTTGAGTACAAGTAGTAGAGTACCTGCTTCTGGACAGCAACTTGTCTGTGGAGCTGATGGACGGACTCTTCCAGTTGCTTTATCTTACGGATGGCTTCTTCATCCGCCAGTTTCTTACGCTCCTCTCTCTTACTGTCTTGTAGTTTCTTAACCTGTAACATATAAGTCTTAATTAACTTACAGTAAAGAAAACACCTTCACCATCACTCAGTCACTGTCTTGATACAGGTATCTTGATGTTATAGCTCAGACGACAATCTCAACTGTAACATCCTCACTCATCCTTCAAGCACTGTACTTCCCACCTCCAGGACTGTAACATCCTCACTCATCCTTCAAGCACTGTACTTCCAACCTCCAGAACTGTAACATCCTCACTCATCCTTCAAGCACTGTACTTCCAACCTCCAGAACTGTAACATCCTCACTCATCCTTCAAGCACTGTACTTCCCACCTCCAGAACTGTAACATCCTCACTCATCCTTCAAGCACTGTACTTCCCACCTCCAGGACTGTAACATCCTCACTCATCCTTCAAGCACTGTACTTCCCACCCCAGGACTGTAACAACCTCACTCATCCTTCAAAACACTGTACTTCCACCTCCAGAACTGTAACATCCTCACTCATCCTTCAAGCACTGTACTTCCCACCTCCAGGACTGTAACATCCTCACTCATCCTTCAAGCACTGTACTTTCCCACCTCCAGGACTGAACATCCTCACTCATCCTTCAAGCACTGTACTTCCTACCTCCAGGACTGTAACATCCTCACTCATCCTTCAAGCACTGTACTTCCTACCTCCAGGACTGTAACATCCTCACTCATCCTTCAAGCACTGTACTTCCCACCTCCAGGACTGTAACATCCTCACTCATCCTTCAAGCACTGTACTTCCCACCTCCAGGACTGTAACATCCTCACTCATCCTTCAAGCACTGTACTTCCTACCTCCAGGACTCAAGTCTAGTTAACCAATTTCCCTGAATCCCTTGATAATGTTACATTGCTTGCACTCCAACAGCACGTCAAGTCATAAAAATCACTTGCCTCCACTCATTCCTATTTAACATGTTTAATGTGTGCCTGATGGAAGTCTAAAACCCTTACACATAAAACCTCATTTACCCCCTCCCTCCAACTTTTCCTAGGCTGACCCCTACTCTGCCTTCCTTCCACTACAGAATTATACACCCTCCAAGTCATTCTATTTTGTTCCATCCTCTCTAAATGTCTGAACCACCTCAACAACCCCTCGTCAGTCCTCTGGATAGTACATTTAGTAACTCCACACCTTCTGATCTCGAAGTTAGTAATTCTCGGCATAATAATATTCACACCACACATTGCTCTCAGACACAACATCTTCACTGCCTCCAGCTTCCTCCTCCACTGTCTCCAGCCTCCTCCTCCTCCACTGTCTCCAGCCTCCTCCTCCACTGTCCCCAGCCTCCTCCTCCACTGTCTTCATGGATAATGTTATCATCTCTAATACAGTTACTATGTTAAGCAGTTATGAAGAGAGTGCCACTACACACACAAGATAAGAGTCAGTGTAGGAGTGACTGTTACCTTGACACCAGGTGTGGTCAGGCCCAGGAGCTTGAGAAAGAAGTGAGACCCATCATGACATGAACTGTTACAAGGAGATGAAGAGCAAACTGTTGCAACACTACCAGTACCAGTGAAGAACAACTGTTGCAACACTACTGCAACAGTCTGCAACACTAATACAATAATAGTCTGAAACACTACTACAATAGTAGTCTGCAACACTACAATAATATTCTGCAACACTGCTGCAATACTGAACCACATATCATACCCGAGTCTTGAGGTCCCTGACCTCCAGGTGACCTCTTATAAATACCTGAGTCTTGAGGTCTTCGACCTCTTGCCGAGCCTTCTTCTCAGCGGCCATGAGCTGTACCTTGTCGCGCTGCTCCTTGCCCACACCCTTGTACATGTCCAGCAACAACTTCAATTCACGATAATCATTGACAGCTTTCCTGCAGGAGAACAAGAGTCAGTCAGTCCATAACAAGTGATACTGAATGATTTATATTACAACACAAGAGAAGGAGCACTGCAGTAGGCCTACTGACCCATGCTAGCTAGGTCCAACCTTAGTGCAGGAAGGCCACGCTTCACACCACTTCTCTTTACAGGGTTGTGGTTGTGGCACAGTGGTTTTCAATTATAGCCATTCTTCATTTATTCAGACTTGTTACAATAAATATATGTATTCGCCACACACTTTAAGCAAGGACCGAAAATATTTTAAGGTAAGTAATGTGTGTACTGTATATGAATTTTTAAGACCTAGTTCTACTGCTCACTTAACCCTTTCAGGGTCGAGAGGCCCTCCCCTAAACTTGTTCTCAGGGTCAAAAATTTTTCGGAAAAGAAAAATTATTTTTTCTTATGAAATGATAAGAGAATCTTTTCCCGATCACAATGACACCAAAAGTATGAAATTTGATGGAAAACTTACGGAATTATGCTCTCGTGAAGTTAGCGGTCTCAACAATGTTTACGCATCAGCAATTTCACCCACTTTGAGCCTTAGTTTCGGCCAATTCCAGTGTACTAGTCGACAAAAATAATATCTATTTCGCTAGAACTCCATTTCTTTCATCGAAACAGTACAAGAAACCACCCATTTATCGATTTCAACTATCCAATAAAGTGGTCAGAAATTGGCAATTTTGCCAATTTCACACAAATTTCAGAAGATGCCAATTTCCAAATAGGGTTCGAAAAGCAAGACAGACATTCCTGGCACTAAAATAACATTTTCTCTGTTCATTAGTCACATCCCCAGGCCCCTCTTACATTTCTTTTGCTTTCCACTCTGAATTTTTATTCTCACAAAAAATAGAAGATTTACTGTCATGCAGACTACTGCATTAATGTAGAAGTGGTGAAGAAATGGTATAAATAATATCAGTGCACTTGTGAAAGAATATTAGACTCACCAGTTGACGTGTGTTGGACACTTGGCATGATTTGTTTACTTTTGAAATTTGGTAAAAATCGAACATTTCTGCTACTTTGAGCTTAATTTCAAGGTACTTTTCATTATGAAACCAATCAAAATCATCTCAATTTCTGTAATACGTCTTCCATTCTATAAAATGAGACCAGGAAAACTAAAATACAACCATAAACACCATACGAAAATTCACTGCAAAGTCGCTGTTTTAAGCCAAAAACTCGGTCGGAGTTTTTTTTTCTCATCATGCACTGTGTGCTGCAGGATTTTTTTTATACTGTGCACACTGACCACATAGACCCATTCTTTTATATGTAGGTCTACCAGCTTTCTCTCACCAGATTTGAGGGCACTAGAATTTAGGCGTACTAGTACGTCAATAACCCTGGTGTGTAAGCCGTACTAGTAAGTCAGAAACCCTGAAAGGGTTAATACAGTGGTACCTCGAATTTCGAACAGCTTCCAACTCGAAAGATTATTTAAGTGCATTTTTGTAAGTGCTTTTGTAAGTGTATTTTTGGGGGTCTGAAATGGACTAATCTAATTTACATTATTCCTTATGGGAACAAATTCGTTCAGTAACAGCACTAACAGCCTTCTGGAACGAATTTCGGTTGAAATTTGAGGTACCACTGTATATGTTATCAGGCTTTTATATTCATTTGAAAATGAAAAAAGGCTGTTTCACTAAAGAGCAATTTTCACTTTACAGCAGCAGCCCGGAACCTAACCTGCTGTATATGCTGGGTCCCTCCTGTATACTGAACCTTAGTAAGTTGAACCTTAGTAAAGTGAACCTTATTAAGCTGAATCTCTTAGCGAGTGCTGGTCAGAGTGCCTGACAGAATGCCTCACTTACTTATGCTCAGACTTGAGGTTACGGATGATCTCTGTCTCACGGGAGTCCTTGACGGGCGGAGCAGCACCGCCCGGTTTACTGCCACTGCCCACACCGGCCTCCTTCCCATCCTTCCCTTCCTTCTTCATCTCCTTCTTGATCTTATCCTCCTTCCTATCACACTCTTCATTATCCTGCAACAACATAACACAGACTTATCAACACTGATACTAAGCCATGGTAGACTGTGATCTAAGCCATACCAAGCCATGTTAGACTGTGATCTAAGCTATACCAAGCCTTGTTAGACTGATCTGACATTAGTGCTGTGACACTGGTACTGACCTTAGCTTCATCGTCGTCTTCCTTCTTAATGTCGGCACCATCGACAGTCTTGTCATCAAGCACCGGGCCAAAAGCAGCAGCAAGGGCGGCAGCGGCAGCAGCAGCAGCACTTGCTGGGGAAGATGACGTGGCCGGCGGCCCGACGAGGGCACATGACTCACACCTTCCTCCTTACCCTTGTAATCCCTTATAATATTTTTAAACACTAGCCACTCACACCAGGGAGGGTGACCAAAAAAGAAATAATGAAAGTTTTTTTGGTTTTTTTACATGTAATAATTTAACAGGGAAGGGGTACTAGCCCTTGCTCCTGGAATTAAAATGGGCCCTTACAACAGGCTTGGCTACCGCAGAAAGAATTCTCCCACTTCCCCTGGACTGTACAGTTCAAGATGTGCAAAATAATACATGCATTACAATCACACCACACATTGCCCCAGACAAGACATCTCCCTGCTCCAGCATTCTCTTTGTTGGCACATTCGGGCCACCCAGTTTCAAAACCCCATATAAGAGCGTTGGTATAACTTTACTCTCATACATCCCTTCTTTGCTTCAATAGACAAGTTTTTTGTACGATCCTCTCAGATCCTCACCCCTTTTCCCCCCATCAATTCTAAAGTCATTCATCTTTCAGAGACCCTTGCGAACCTCCCCCAAATTTTCCTGAATACATTACCTCCACATACTCTCTCCTCCAACCTATTTCAACCCTTTTGTTACCATTTTTTTTTCCTCATCAACTTACTCTTTCCTATTTCACTTTCAAATTTTCTTTCTTTTAAAATTTCCTTTCCAAAAATTCATTCACCCAACCCCTGCAAACTTCATTCAGAATTCCCAGAAGACAGTGCATCAGCAAAAGCAACTGTGACAACTCCAACCCTTGTGTTAGATTCTTTATCTTAAACCCCAAGGCTCTTGCCAAAACCCCAGCATTCCCCTTCTCTTACAACCCCATCTATAACTCACGAAAACACGGTGCATCACGCATCACCTGTCTAAGGCCCTACTTTTACTGGGAAATCATCTCCCCCTCCCCTGCATACTCTAACCGACCTCACTATCCTCCTTTGACCTTGATACTTTGAAAGTTTTGAGAGTTTAACTACCTCTCAGAGCCCAGCCAGGGACAGGCTGTCCAGTGCTTGCCTATTAACAAGGCTGTTGCTGCTTTGGAGGCCCGCCTGCCCCACAATCCATCACAGCCTGGTTGATATGGGCCCTGGTGAATAACTTGTCCAGTTTTCCTCTTGAAGGCTTCTACACTTGTTTCCCGCAGTTTCTGATATCTTCTTTGGGAAAGTTGAATAGTTGGACCCGGAGGTTGATAAAGTGTTTCTTATTGTCCCTCTGCACCCTGCTCCTCACTGTGTTATTTTACACTTCCTCCCATTTTTTCATTCCCTATGTTGTTATGTGCAGTATTGGACCAGTCCTCAAGTACTTTCCAGTGTACATTTATCATGTAATCTCTCTCCTCTACCCAATGAGTAATGTTCAAGACTGAAGGTTCCCAGTAATTTAGGTGCTTTAGCTCAATGCGAGCGTTTAACAATTTCTGTACTATTTTTTCCAGCTCTGAATTTCCCATCTGCTTTGAACGGGGATGTCAGCACGAGCAAAATTCAAATAAGGGAGCACTAGCGATCTGAAGAGTGTCACCATCGGCATATTTTCCTGTTTGAAAGTTCTCATAACCCATCCCCTAATCTTCCTAAAAGAAAGGTAAGCTGACATAATTATTCCCAGTCTTTTAGCCTCTTTTGAAAAATTTCCCCCAATTTAAAAAATTTTTTT